CTTCCACCTCTGACGTCCTGTGCAACAATGACGAGTGTATATTCTGCAACCCTGACTTACCAGGTGAGCTGTTATAACTAATTTGAAATTATGCGAATTCCTTAATTTCAGAAATTTAAGCTGCTATTGTTTGACTGCACTTTATAGTTGAGGCAAACCATTTCATTAACCCATAAATGCAAGAGAATTGATATCTTGGATCCTGTTACTCATAATTATCCAGTTTCGATACATTTCAGAAACAACATCCGAGTCAACCAGCGTAACGCTCCCACTAAAGACTACGTTAGCAACTACTACAGAAGGTAAACAGCACAGACCAAGTCCCTAATATCTTTTTATATCATATCCTCATTTCTGTAGCTATCAACGTCTTGTAAGATGAAAGAGAGAGAGAGAGAGAGAGAGAGAGAGAGAGAGAGAGAGAGAGAGAGAGAGAGAGAGAGAGAGAGAGAGAGAGAGAGAGAGAGAGAGAGAGAGAGAGAGAGAGAGAGAGAGAGAGAGAGAGAGAGAGAGAGAGAGAGAGAGAGAAGAGAGAGAGAAAGAGAGAGAGAAAGAGAGAGAGAAAGAGAGAGAGAAAGAGAGAGAGAAAGAGAGAGAAGAGAGAGAAAGAGAGAGAAAGAGAGAAAAAGAGAGAGAGAAAGAGAGAGATAAAGAGAGAGAGAAGAGAGAAAGAGAAGAGAAAAGAGAGAGAAAGAGAGAGAGAAAGAGAGAGAGAAAGAGAGAGAGAAAGAGAGAGAGAAAAGAGAGAGAGAAAGAGAGAGAGAAGAGAGAAGAGAGAAAGAGAGAGAAAGAGAGAAAGAAGAGAGAACGAAAGAGAGAAAGAAGAGAGAAAGAGAGAAAGAGAGAAAGAGAGAAAGAAGAGAGAGAGAGAGAAGAGAGAGAGAGAGAGAGAGAGAGAGAGAGAGAGAGAGAGAGAGAGAGAGAGAGAGAGAGAGAGAGAGAGAGAGAGAGAGAGAGAGAGAAAGAAAGAGAGAGAGAAAGAGAGAGAGAAAGAGAGATGAGAAAGAGAGAAGAAATCCCTTGAAATATAAACAAAAAAATTGGATTTTTCCCTTCCTCTCCCCCTTCGAGGAACCGACAGCCTGCCCTCAACCTCCCTCTTCACCACAACGACCACGGAGGAGGAAGTCCTACCGACCGATGCCTCGCTGGTCCCGGCATATTACGAACACGACTACTCGTACGACACGTGGGAGAACGAGACCATAACTTCCCCACCTGCAACTGCGACCCCTTTTACCTTCTTGGGAATCCCTCTGTACCTGCTGATCATCGCCGTCTGCACCGCCACCATTCTCCTTCTCCTCGTTACTTACTGCTTCTGGTCTTATTACAGGAGCAAGAGAGTGAGTAGGAGGTTTTACTGTTTCTGTGTATGATATACCCATCCGTATAAATGCTAGAGGAATTACAGCAAATGCAGCGTCAGTCCCTCATTCACTCGCTCAGCTCCCTCCTCCCTCAGGAAGACAAGTACCGCCTGCCACGCGAGGGCCGTGAGACAACCTTCCACAACAAGGCCCCTGCTGCCCGTGCCATCGCCACCTCCGAGCCCATCTTCACCTTGGGAAAGCCACCCCACCCTACAGGAACCCCTCCCAAGGACATGTACATTTCCTTCCAGTTCTTCAAGCCTCCTGCAGGAAGCTCCTCGGAGGAACCCCAAGTCGTTCAGAATGGTAGCAGAAACCCTTCCCATGAGCAAGAACCTCTGGCAGGTCCTCCTCCAGCAGAAGAGATCCCAGACGTGACGGAAGAAGAGAGTTTTGACGGCCATGAAAGGGGTCACGCAGATGGCGAGGAAGGGGTCGAAACTGCTCAACCCGCTGCACTGTGCACAGACGACGAGCCAAGACCGGAGAGTGAGGATTCCTTACTGGCTGACCAGCTTCCACAGGAGAGTGAGTAGCAATTCAATCCTTTCTCAATGGTATGCTTATACTTAAATTAGAGGTTCTAAAGTTAATCTTCTCAAAACATTAATTCCCTGGATGAAAATGCTTTTAACTTTTTCATTTCCATTGTTCTGACATTTTTCGTGCTTTTCTCTGATGGGAGTACTTAGTCATTAACTCGCTTACTGACAGGAAGGGATAAAATAAGCACATATAAATATGCTAATATATAGAAATAAGGCAAGAAAACACCTTGTGTAGCTTTGGAACGGCAATAATTCTGATAAGGAAACAAGTACTGTCCACTTGCTGTTAAAAGAGATAAGTTACTAAAAGAATTATACATTTGCCGAGCTAACCAGTTGCTCCAAAATTTGCAAAAGAACATGAAAAATACACAACAAAAGCTCTCTGGAAAGCTCCATCACAATAGTCCACCATTACAGTGTTGAATTACCCATCATGTAAAATAACCCGAGCTGATGATCATTAACCCATTGCCAACAGGCATGACATGTACGTACATGCCATGTTTACTGTGAGTTCACTTATTTAATTGTTTTTACACATAGATGGCTACACTAGTCGTTAATGAGCCAGTTATGAGTACTGATAATCAGATAAGGTCACAAGATCTACTAATTGACTCCTTTGTGGCTAAGAACTAACAGAGCCATCTATGAACAGAGACATTTCACAAAAATATAAGAAATGAGCACAGCATTCTCCCCATTTTTTATTCATTTCCCCCAGCGGCAGAGAATAACAAACATGGCACCAGTTCTTCACTTCAAATTGAACGACAATTCATCATTTATATTACAGGAGACAATGAAACCGAGTCACACGAGGCGAGCGAACAGACAGACCTTCCAGCAAGACAAGAGGAAGAAGATGCAGCTAGTTTGTCCTCTGGTGAGATTGAGAGCTCATCCAAATTCTAAAGGAAAAGAGGCACGATACAGTTATAAAGATTGATGTTAAGTGAAATACATAGAAACTTGGAAGATGTTCATGGATTCTGAAATGAAGTGCAAAATAATTTGCAATTATTGCCAAAAATTATGTGAAAATGTAAGGTAAAATCCAGTCAATCAGTGATCTTTTCTTAACCAATTTTTATCTTACCTAAGTGTTTTTTCTTCATTTTCAAGTACAGTAAGTCCCCAACTTAAGAACATAATGGGATCCTAGAGGCTGTTTGTAAGTTGATTTGTTTGTATGTTGAAAGTCGGGTCTCCATTACCTTTTTCCCCATTGTTTTAAAGTTTTGTTTACATTAAGAATACCTGTAAATAAATCCCAGTAAGTACGACATACCTTATACAGTACCAGACTCTTGAACTATATTCGTGCCCGGGAAATTTTAAGTTTGCTAGCATCTTTCAAACAATTTTTTGGACTTTAGTACTTAAAAAATTTTGTTTGTATGTATGGAATGTTCATAAGTAGAATGTTCTTAAGTAGGGGTCTATCTGTATTCTACATGGTAACAAATGATGTAACAAGTGATTTAATGACAGCATGAAAATAATTAATAATTTAAAAACACAACATAAAACAGGAGATGGAGGAGAAGAGGGAGAGGAGGAAGAGGAAGAGAAAGAGAAGTAGAGGCAGAGAGAGAAAGTGGAGGAGGAGGAGGAGGAGAAGGATCAAAAGGAAAAGATGAAGAGGGAACAGGTGTGATAAAGAGAGAAGAAAATGAAAAAGACAGGGAGAGGAGAGGAACAACAGATAGAGAGGGAGGAAAAAGAGAGAAAAGGTAGAGGAGGAAAAAGGGAGAGAAAGGAGGAAGAAAAAGAGAGAAAAGGGGAAATGAAATGAGGAGTGAGAGTGAGAGTGAGAGTGAGAGTGAGTGTGAGTGTGTGTGTGTGTGTGTGTGTGTTTGTGTGTGTGTGTGTGTGTGAATGCATACTATATATATAAAGATATCGATAAATATATAAAAAGATAAAAAACACAAGGTGAAACAGAAAATCATGCCACGAATTGGGAAGATAAACAATATAACATATTAGGAATTTTATTGATTTCCCTACATAAAATCTCTTTAACAAGTACATAACTAAAAGAAAAATATTAAAACTCACTTTTTTATCTTTTTTTACTCCCTACTCACATTCACTTAATTCTCGAAATGCTGTTCAATTCACAGAACAATTACTTTTAACAAGATCAGAAGCCAAGACAAGAGACAAATATCCTCACTAAACATAAAATCATTCACAAACTAACTGAGGTCTAATAGGATCAAATTCTTTATCATACTCATTCTTGGCGTATGTACAACTTGTGCAATTGCTCGAGTAACTGACGGAGTGACCGAGACTGTTAGGAAATGTGCACAAAAGAGAAACTTCTACGATTCAATTATATGAACAAAACTGAAATATCAATGAAAATGCAGTACTGAGCTTCTTGTGAGTATCTGTAGTTTCAAAACATCCGATTAAGGCTGATACTCATTTTGTGCTTTATTACAGCCGACGGTAAATGCCACCAAGAAACCTGATGAGGAAAAAGCAAAGTATTCCACACTGTTATTACAAAGATGAAACAGCAGCTTCAGCCAAAGTAACTTCTTATTGAAAAATAAAACCTAAATAATGTCCTCATGCCTTTTCCCTTTTCATTCTTTCTTTGCAAAATTGTTACAACCATATTGCACCTTTTTTATTTCTTCTATTGCCATGTCACTCTAAGACTTTATTTCAGCTTCTAATCATGAATATGTTTCATAATATATCCCAAATTAATGACCTGAAATTCCTGAGAAACACTTACAATCTGCTAGGAATACTGCAAAGTTTACATGAGACATAATGAAACTGAATAAAAAGTTTGTATATGTATCTCTTTGTATGACAACATAACAAAAATGCATTTAAATGTTTAAAATGATTTAAATTTTTCCTTAAAACCATGTTGCAAAACGCTGGAACCTTAGGAATGGGTTTGGGTAATATCGTAATTTAAAATAATACAGCATTTTAAAATTAATTATTACTATGTGAATATATTTTAAAACAAAATCTGATAAATGATATTTCAAAATCTCAAATAAATTTTATACTCTTATGAAAACAATGTTTTCTTAATAACAACTTAAAAGGTTCATATTGAAAAAAAAAAAGTGTTACAACCTACTTCTTCACAATATGTTTGCAACTACATGTATACGTAAGAACATGTGTCTGTGTATGAGCGTGTGGTAAGTATATGTGTGCATGTGCATGTGGGTGTGTGTGCGTGTACATATGAATGTGTGTATGTGTGTGTGTTGTGTGTGTGTGTCATGTGTGTGTGTGTGTCATGTGTGTGTGTGTGTCATGTGTGTGTGTGTCATGTGTGTGTGTGTCATGTGTGTGTGTGTGTGTGTGTGTGTGTGTGTGTGTGTGTGTGTGTGTGTGTGTGTGTGTGTGTGTGTGTGTGTGTGTGTGCATGTATATATGAGCGTATGTGTGCATGCGTGTGCATACACATTCAACTAATAACCAATACAAATCTATAAAAGGGAAAAGTTACCAAAACATAACAGTTAACCACCTTCCTGGCCCCGACATCCTCCACAGTTAAATGCATCGTCACCCACCTCCTCTCCTCCTCCTCCTCCTCCCCCCCTCCAACCACTCCCCCTCACTCCCTAATGCCCGTCCAACTCTACACTAACCCCCCCTTCACATCTTGGCCTGGGGTTTCAACAGGCCCTGCAACTTCTGGGTCAGCATCACGTTTCCCGAGACCTTGAGTTTGCCGGACATGAAGGCCTTCTGGGCATTGAGCTTCCCCGTCACCATGGCAACCATATCGGCGTCCTCTAGGGTGAGGGTGACGTCAGGCTTGAGTCCACCGCGCGGCGCTCCCTCGTAGATGGAGCCTGGGGCATTCTTCAGGTCGACCGCTGGAAGGGAATACATTTATTTAATTAATGAATTGATTTAGTTGCCTCTGTGCCACATGGAGGTATTCAGGGGCCCATAATTAAGGAAATAATCAGGTACCTTCTTTGTTATAGCGTTTAGCACACTTCCTCTGGGTAAAAAGCTAATGAAAGATATATATATAAAAACATTTCATAATGTCAATACCTCACCATCTTATACATATAACAAAATATAAGGAAACAAGAAAAATAAAGGAAAAAAGAGAAGCAAAAGATCAAGAAAAAAGAACTAAAAAAGAAAGAAAAAAGACCATGAAAATTAAAAACAAAAAGATAAATAGAAAAAAAAAAGAAAAACAGAAGCCAAAAAGAAAAAGAAAAAGAGAAGAAAAAAATAGGAAAAAGGAAAAGAAAAAGAAAGAAAAAGAAACCGCAGCAAAAGAAAAGGAAAAAAAGAAAAAAAAGGAAAAAGAAAAATTAACAGGAACAAAAATAAGCAACAAAAAAGAAAAAGAAAACAAAAAAATTAAAAAGACAAATCAAGCTCACTCCACTGCCCGGCCGGCTTCTTGTCCAAGCTGATGTTCCACAGGAAGACAGCATTAACCTTCTTGGCCATGTCCGGTTCGCCAGCCAGACGCTGCGACATTTCGTGGAAGACAGCTGCACTGGCGAGCTCTGGCTTAGACAGAGTGGACGCGGATTCAGTGGGGGCTCCGTTTTCCGCAATATCCACATAGCCACCTGAGGAGGAGGGGGATTGATGACTGTGCTGTCCTTATGTTAAAAAAAATATATATAAATATAATGAGGGTTGGTGAAATCTGATGCCCCTCGGATAAAGATAAGTCTGTTTTTTTTTATATCTGAACACTACTCAAATTGATACACAGTCCTCAAACTCTGGATCTGTCCAACTCATAACCCTTTAAATCTGGCTGCGTCACGGCAATCACTCGAGCAAAAATCCGGGCATCAGGCTTACGTGAGTGGCCGTTCTGCCAGGTGTGCGACTTGTAGGCCAGGTGCACACGTTTGTGCATTGAAAAGACTCTATACCTCCTATTTGCAATGTTATTTCTTCTTTTTATGCATACGCATTTTTAACTTTTTTGCCATTTTGCAATGTCTATATTTGCTATGGAGCCAGTGCTCTTACTGTCATGCATCACAGACACTACATTCCACACTCATACATCGATGGGAATAATGCAAAATCGCCAAACGAGTCCAATCAACCTCCCAAAAGGTTTATGCACTCGTGATAAGTCTTCCCCATCACCCAGGCCTTCAGCTGAAATGCTCATGACCCAGCCTGCTGCTAGATTTTTCTGTGGCGGCAGGTTCATGTCACAAGCGCCTTGAGCCAGAATTTTTCACATGATAGTCACATCAACCGGATTGAAGGGGATAAGAATCATGCATATTGTTGGCTTCAATGAACACATGTGTATGCAGCATGAGTCAATGTGTTATCATGAATATGTTAAAAAATTAGATTAGATTTTGATTCGTTTTTTCTCCAGAAAAAAAAAAAATTGCTTTCATCATATAAGGCTGTAAGAGTAATAGATGTATGCCTTCTGCTGTGGCTTTGCTTACCATTGAATCACTAGACACTGGCCAAAAAGGCTAATGCAAATGGACTAGTTACATTTCAGAAAAAAAAAAAAAAAAAAAAATGTAAGAATACATGAGAACTACTGTATATACACAATCTCAAGAGATAACTATACCCTCTTTTTTTTCTTTCTTTCTTTTTATTAATGCAAAGATAAAAGATTAATAATGTTAATATTTGATCACTAACAGCTTGGTCATGACAATCCATTTAAATACAAGTATGTTATTCAAACATATTGCATTTACTCATCCACCACCACTCTCACAAGTACATCTCTGCCTCAATAAAAATGAAAGTATAAAAGTAAAAATACATTACTCACACCAGCAAGCCTACAATTTCCTGTCAAGTACTCACCTGTCAGACAGTCCTTCCCCGTCTCCTTGACAGAACAGGTGAAGAAAACGCGTGCCCCTTCCTTCCACATGTTGACGACAAGGGTCTGACCTGGGATCACTGGCTTGGCAAAACGGCACTAGGAAAAGGAAAAACACACGATGCAAATTCAGTATACTCTGATATGGGTTTCATGATTTCATTTATCTCTTGTAACAGCAGATCAGTGCCGATCATTCAGCTATGTTCGATCGTTTCTTTGAATCTAAATTTTATCACTTGGGAATGTTCAAAATGATTAAATGAAAATGACTACAACATCTGAAACATCTTAGACTAGCAATAATAGCAACATTCAGTTCCTTTAACTTTACTTTATCTGGGCATAAGAACACCACACAAAGGAAATCTAACCTTAACAGCCCTAAATTTATGGATCTTATCCTTGCTGAAAAACTATGTAACTCCTTACATATAACAACCAATACATGGATAAACAGAAAAAAGCAAAAAGCAAAAAGAAAAAAATCTCGACCAACCTTAATGGACTTGAACTTGCTGACGTCGTTGCCGCAGAAATGCTTCAAGATGATGCGGCAGGTAATCCCGTAGGAGCACAGGCCGTGGAGGATGGGCTGCTGGAACCCTCCCATGGCGGCAAAGGAGGGGTCGATGTGCAGAGGATTGCGATCGCCACTCAGCCGATACAAGGCAGGCTGCAAGGTTAATTGTATTTATAAATAATTAAAGAATTGTATTTATAGAGGTACACATAAAAAAGAAAAGAAAAATTATACATCACAAGAGCGAGAAAAGGAGACTAGTGGAACAGTCTTCACAACAGCATTACAATGACAGGCATATAACGCAGAGACCAAATATCTGACACATTACCATTATAACTATATCAACTTTACTTAATATATATAGTAGAGATGGGGGTGGGGAGAGGGGGAAGGGAGGAGGGAGGGGGAAGGGGAGGGGGAGGGGAAGAGGGAGAGGAGAGAGAAAGGGGGAGAAGGAGGGGGAGAGAAAGGGGAGAGTGACAAGGAGCTGGAGAAATAGGAGCAGGAGTGGAAGAAGGGCATGGAGGGAGAGGAGTCATGGAGAGGGAAGAGAAGTAGAATAAAAATGAGTGTATGTAAGAGAGAGGGAGAGAGAGAGAGAGAGAGAGAGAGAGAGAGAGAGAGAGAGAGAGAGAGAGAGAGAGAGAGAGAGAGAGAGAGAGAGAGAGAGAGAGAGAGAGAGAGAGAGTGAGAGAGAGAGAGAGAGTGAGAGAGAAATACAGAGAGTGAGAGAGAAAGACAGAGAGAGAGTGAGAGAGAAAGACAGAGAGAGAGAAAGAGACAAAGAGAGAGAGAGAAAGACAGAGAGAGAGAGCGAGAAAAACAAAATGGGGATGGGGTGGGTACAGAAAGAACCAGCAAGACAAGACAGGACACCACATTACTTGATCCGCATCCGTCTTGAACTCCTCCGTGGCATCGGGCTTCCTGCTGGGAGGGTCGCAGAGGGGCACGACGCGGTCGCTCTTCCTCGGGCCGCCAAAGTTGCCTTCTCCCACCAGGAAGGTCGACCACTGGGCTTTCGCCACCATCTCACCGCTCTCGTCAGTCGTCTGAGCTGCGGAGAGAATGATGGCGTTTAAAATGTTGTGTAAGTTGAATCTTATGAAGTATATAGCACTGACTTCCTCAAAAATGAAAGCATATTCTTAAGTTGCAGCTATGCGTGTGCGTGTGCGTGTACGTGTGTGTGTGTGTGTGTGTGGGTGCATGCGTATGTGCGTGCGTGCGTGTCTGCGTGTGTGTGTGTGCATGCATGTGCGTGTGTGTGCGTGCATGTGTGTGTGTACGCATGCATGTGTGTGTGTACGCATGCATGTATGTGTGTATGTGTATTTCTTGTACATGTATATGTACTTACTGTTTATGATCATGACTGCTCCCGATTTCTTGTCCAGAATATCGACCACCTCCAAGGACGTGTTGAGCGTTGCTGAGGGGGGGAGGGGCTTCACGCACTCGATGTACATCTCTCCGTGCAGAAGCTGGAGGAACATTTTAAAAGGTAAAAAGGGAAAATCAACACTAACGAAGCCAGCGGTGAAGAGAAGGAGAGTGACATAGACGACTCCAGAATTGTTTTTGAGTATCCCTTTAAGAGCATGATAAGTAGTGATGCCGTAAACAGAGGAAGCCTGTCATCCCCAACCCTACTCTCATCCAGGCCAAAAATCTCTCTCCTTCCTCATTCCCGCGACCATCCTACCGTCTCCGTCAACTCTTCAATCCGCTGATCACATCACAGTTGCATTCTCACACGTAGGTAATTTCATTGGAAGTCGATGATGAGGCCAGAAACGTGGGGCCAAATGCCAGCCAATAAGGATATGGTGGTTCATTATCAAAAGAACTAGATAGGAAACATTACTTTGAAAACTAAGACGTTTGTACTTATTCCAACTTTTGGAAATATAAAGAATTTGCAACATGTTTTGCTACTTCACATCTGCATTTCAATAACCTCACCAATGTCATGTTCAGATCATGTCTTCCCAGTTTCAAAACACTTAATGAGGAATAAAAATCAAGTTATTGTAGAATTGTTGCTACTATTTCAAGAACTTTTGTTAATAATGCAATATACTAGGTCAAACATTCATAGGATTTGCCTCACAATGTTTGTATTATGAGAGTTTAATATAGAAATGAATTTAACAGTAAATATCATATCATGTACAGCACAGAGCCAACTGGTATATATTATCACAAATTTGCAATTACTTGTATGAGGACCAGTGATGGAAAGCCAAAATTTCCTGCATATGGGGGCCATTCACACACAAAAAAATGTAGCCCTGAATTGGTTGGCCAACTTTACACAGAGATGAGACAACACAATAAGCACATAGAGAAGCCAGACATTTTCATCACCTGCATTACAAACATGAAGTGTAGATAAAATTATATGACAATAGACAGTGGACAATGAAGAAACTAAGAAAGACCATAATGAGGTACATAAAACTCCTCTTCTCCCAAGTAGGTGATGCTGTAACCAGTACTACATATTTCCGTCTACAAACTGGTATTTCAAGCAATAAAAGAATACAGCACTGTGCAGTTATGGCTGTGTGGGTGTGCTGTAAGTATGTACTTGATAGCTGTTGAAAATTCCTGTTGCAAACCATGTACTACAGAGGGCTTGTTTCACTGAATTTTAGAAAGTAGCTGTGCCTACTTCCTTTTAGCATTTATCACTCATGCTCAGATAAGGCAGTATACACACACTGCCATATCATATTTTTCCACCATGTAAACAAACATCTAAGGTGATACGGCACAGCTGATGCATTGCCCACAATCCAGGCTGTCATTTCAACAGCATGTCTGTAAAGATGTTAAGTGGAAGGATGCATTAGTAGTAATATGTAAGGAACTACCATCCAAAGAGCCTGCCAAATTCTTTATGCATATTGGTCACTGTATACTCCCTTTTCCTATTAGTAAACTGATTTTGCTGATCTGTTTTTGTTTGTTACCATCCAGTCCGTTGTATCATAGGTAATTTAGGTAGTGGCCTTACAATATTTAAGCTTACACATATTCTCACAAAATGTAGTATAAAACCCTTCTTTCCCATTTCTCAGCCCTGATAACAAGCGCACCAGCCATTAGTTACCCAATTCTTACCAGTATAAATGTAAATTTCAGTTGACACACTGTACTGCCTAGTTTTAATCAGTCTAAAGAATACAAATTTTCTCCACTTTTGTCTGACATCACACAGCCCCAGAGGGAAAAGTCTGTTTGGACTGCCGGAAATGAATCCTTACTAACATATCAAGCATTGTGGAATTCATAAATTTCAAACGGATGTAACTTTAAAGATATAAATAGTATCTGAACAGTACTATCATTCTGAACAAAGTTTGTACAGAGTATATTCTGACTAAATTAAACTGCACTGGAATACAACAGAAGTAGCTGAGACACACACAAATGAAATGAAAATTTATACAAAATAAGATATAGAAAGCAAGAAAAGAGTCAGGGGAACAGACAAAAAGAGATGACATGCAAAGTTGGCATGTCTTCATGAAACTGGGCCATTTAGGGGTCATAATACAGAGCAGAGCCACAGTACACAAGATAGGAATTGTTGTTGCTGATATGAGGAGAACTCTACAGTCTACAGTGCATTGAATACATACATATTTCAGTTAACAGAAAAACACTGGTATTTCAAGCAATAAAAGAATACAGCACTGTGCAGTTATGGCTGTGTGGGTGTGCTGTAAGTATGTACTCGATAGCTGTTGAAAATTTCTGTTGCAAACCATGTACTACAGAGGGCTTGTTTCACTGAATTTTAGAAAGTAGCTGTGACTACTTCCTTTTAGCATTTATCACTCATGCTCAGATAAGGCAGTACACACACACTGCCATATCATATTTTTCCACCATGTAAACAAACACTGTAATGAGTTATAAGTGCAAAAGAGAAAGCAAATCTTACTAATGACTTAAAAGAGAGCATTTTTATACATCTCTGCTCTAAATATGTTAAAAAATGTCTCTCTTAGATCTTTTTACTAGAGCCACACTACATCATGTATGATATTAGATGTCGGCAAACTGACTTGCTGTTTCTTAACTGCTCTGGTTTTACCAACATGTACATGTACTCTAGTAATGTATATTCTATAGGAACTTAGTAAGTCATATAATTTATTGAATATCTTATTGTGAATATTCATCATCATTGGTTGTTTATTGTTTCCTTATGTTGGCTAGTTTTGAAGATCACCAATGAAATTTACTTTTTATCTATAACATAAGACCAAAATAATTAATTTTTAATCTTTATTGCATGTATGAGATTCTCATCCCACAAGAGAATGCATACATAAATGGTTATCCATAAAGTCAGCTCATGAAGCATATTCCTTATGAAGAATAATATATATCCCCATGATTACATAAAAGAAAAGAAAAAAAACAAAAAAACAGACTAACAATCTCAAATTTCTCTACCTTGGTCAGATCCACAGTCCATCCGGGAATATTGCTCCACAGATTGCCGCCAAACATGACCGCTTGTGAAGGCACGACGGAGAAGGTGGGCAGGGGGGTGAAGTCCTCGTCATTCTCATACAGGAACTTGAGGCCATTCTCGTCCTGCACCGAAGCACCCACTGAGGAAAAAAAAACAGAAATGAAGATAATGGTAATGGGACTTCTGCAAGAGGTGTAAGGTAGGTTCTGTAAATCCAAGAAGTATATATACACTTTTGATGCTACTGTTGCTGCTGTTCTGTTTCCTTTTTTTTTGATATCTTGTAAAATCAAAATCATACACGAGACATGAGACATTAATATGGTGAGCAATATTATTAATAACCCCTTGGACCTGGCTGATGCGACTATCACATCACGAAAGAATTTGGCTTGGGGGCCGGGTGAAGTGAACATGCCATCATGGAAAAATGTAGCTAAAGGCAGGCATGATAGGATTATGCCACCATAAGAACTTCGGCTAAAGGCTAGAGTGGTGAGAAGCCCCACCACTAACGCACAAAGTTCTAGGATGGTGCTCAGACTCAGTGGGCATTAGGAAGGGGCTCTAATACCCTTCAATCAGAAAACAAGTGTGGACTTTACCATCTGTGAACCATGGCTGGAAGAGCTCTGGCTCCAGGGAAGACAATATTTCCATACTCAGGGCCCTATTCCTGCCCACCATGACTGATGGCACAAGCTATATTACGGAAAATTGAATGTTACATAGAAATTTTTAAATTACACAAATAACTTAATGTTACTTATTATCATTACCAAAGTGGCCACTCAACTAAACAAGTGGCCTAAAATGTGGGCAGCATAGCACCCAGATCCAATGCATTCAAAACCATCAAACACAAATATGGAAAAATCATTGTCTCTATAAAAGTTAAACTATATTTGTAACTTATATTAAGTGGTCACTAACCTCCAAGGGCATAGAGGATGACATCTTTGGCAGCGTAGGTGAAGCTCGTGGGTTCTACTTTGGCACCAAGCGCTGACATCTGCCATGATTCAATAAGACAAGTTAGACTTTCATTTTGCCAAAGATTATATATTCTCAAAATACAGTGTGTAACCTCTTAAAGAAAAGTAAAATAACTTAAATTTTCTCATAAATACATGATTATTCAAGTACAAAGTCTGAAATGTTGATAATTCATAATTTACATCAACCTAAGCAGTGTTTTGTCAGTATCATTTCAAAACTGTTCAAAAACAGACTTTCACATAAAGGGGCTCGACAACCAACACAGCTACATAATTCTCATGTCAAAAAACAAAAAGAAAGAAGGCAAAGATATAAAATCATTAGCCTAAGGTAACTCACAGGTCCTGATGTAACTGCTCCTGTTGCAGAGGCAGGTTTGGGCTGAACCTCCTTCCATGGTTTCAAGTCTTGTAAACCCTGGATAGGAACAGCCCATCAAAAAACAAATAAAGAATATGCATGAAAAGAGATAAAAACAAGCAAGGATTTTTGACACTGCACAGGAGTGTCTGTGTGCGCCCACTTTATAAGCCACACAATCATGAAAGTGGCCACTCAACTAAACAAGTGGCCTAAAATGTGGGCAGCATAGCACCCAGATCCAATGCATTCAAAACCATCAAACACAAATATGGAAAAATCATTGTCTCTATAAAAGTTAAACTATATTTGTAACTTATACTAAGTGGTCACTAACCTCCAAGGGCATAGAGGATGACATCTTTGGCAGCGTAGGTGAAGCTCGTGGGTTCTACTTTGGCACCAAGCGCTGACATCTGCCATGATTCAATAAGACAAGTTAGACTTTCATTTTGCCAAAGATTATATATTCTCAAAATACAGTGTGTAACCTCTACAAGAAAAGTAAAATAACTTAAATTTTCTCATAAATACATGATTATTCCAGTACAAAGTCTGAAATGTTGATAATTCATAATTTACATCAACCTAAGCAGTGTTTTGTCAGTATCATTTCAAAACTGTTCAATAACAGACTTTCACATAAAGGGGCTCGACAACCAACACAGCTACATAATTCTCATGTCAAAAAACAAAAAGAAAGAAGGCAAAAATATAAAATCCTTAGCCTAAGGTAACTCACAGGTCCTGATGTAACTGCTCCTGTTGCAGAGGCAGGTTTGGGCTGAACCTCCTTCCATGGTTTCAAGTCTTGTAAACCCTGGAAAAGACACGATAATATAGTGGATTTGTCACAAAAAATTAAATTATATACAAGTGTTCAAACACATAAGCTGACTGTAATCATCAATACAATATTTTGTTCAACAAAAAGCTTCTTGCCATCAAAGCAACTCATATTGTCAAACACTGCTATCTATCAGCAAGGTAATAATATCCAAATGAAATTCAGAATGAAGCAAAACCTTTTAAAGCTTAAAAAAACAAAGCAAAAAAAAAAACTCTTTCTGATAATAAAAGGACAAAAAAATCTCCAAGCATTTTTACAGCAGCTAATATCCCTGTGTCTTCGTGGTTACTTGCAGGGTGGTAGGCATCGGTAAAGTCCGTGATCTTCTCCCAGTTGTCGCGAACTGCCTCTGGGGTCACCTCTTCCTCTATGTACTTCCTGCAAAAATGCCCTTGGGTGCGCTCCCATCTGTCTGTGGGATACAAATACAACAGAACACTAGTCAAATCATCACACATCACTGCATAAGAATGGAAAATCTTAGCAATATAGATAACAACCCTCCCTGACAAGGACTCAAACCCTTGTCACTCCAGATATATGACCCAGAATGAGAAGTACCACAGCAACTGTATCACACAGCCCAACAAAGGGAACGTGTACCTAGGCTCCGTTTGCTGGGTCTTGTCGTAGAGGTGGTTTAGTACTGTTCATTCCGAGTCATTTACCTTGTAAGACAGAGGTTTCAGTACTTGTCATGGAGGGTTGTTATTCATATTTATCAATATATTACTCATTACTGATAACTACCTTGCATTTTAAAGTAATTTGTTCAGATGCCAAGTTGAATTCCCTTTGCTTATAACATTTATTTCTATATTTTTTATATGTAATACTGTAATCATAGAATAAACACAGAATACTCTCTGTTTACTATTTGAGTGAAGACATTTTCAAAAAATGACTCGAAAGGGAAGAAGAAGAAGAGAAAAAAAGACAAAGAAAAAGAAGGAAAAGAACACAAAAAAAAATAAATAAAACAGAAAAGGACCAGACTTCATCTTGATCAGCTATCAACCAAATGCTCATATCAGTTACCTTCCAGACCACACAACTATCTTCCTGAATAAAAGATAAAATTATAAAACGAATGCCATTACTTACACTTTCCGTACCATCCGCCAGCCGCTTCAAAAAGGCCTCCCGTGTCCTCGCACTCCTCATGACAGAGCCAGGCAACAAGTGGGGCCACATACTCAGGCTTTAGCTGGTCAAACAAGTCTGGAACGAGAAATGCACACTAGGACACTCAAGACCATATACCTATGCTTTTTAGGAGAAGCATATCCTTCTATAGGATTTTTAACTTTCTATCTAATCTATATCTTTATCTTAGTGGCAATGGGTACATGAACTGTATCCACTGTAGCGCTGCTTTATGATTTTTTTTTTAAGACAGAGCTGGTTTCACAAAAACTTAAATACTAACGAGGTAATTAGGAGGTAAATGAGACTTCACCTGATTACCACATTCCTTAAATTTTCGGGAATAAGTTGTTGTTTTATATAATACTATCATTACAGTATCTGTTATTATCAATGGCATTCAAATGATCAAAATGTTACTTAGAATGCTAATGGTGACTTCTGTGTAAAATAATAATAATAATGATTCATAATATTCATAAATAAATATATAAATATATTCATAAATAGATACATAAATATATTCATAAGTAAATACATAAATATATTCATAAATAAATACATAAATATATTCATAAATAAATACATAAATATATTCATAAATAAATACATAAATATATTCATAAATAAATACATATATATATTCATAAATAAATAAATGAATAATAAATAAATAAATACATAAATACACACATAAAATAAAATAAAATATAATCGGTGATTACGGCAAGTTACGAACTTTCCCAGCAGTAACGGACTAAGTATTCTGCCAAGTGCCACAACCTACCAGGGGGCAAGATGCCTTCCGTCAAGCGCGTTCCACCCACGGGGGCAATCGTGTTGCAGTGGATGTTATATTTGCGTCCTTCAATTGCGACTGTGTTGCTCAGGCCGAGTAGACCAAGCTTTGCCGCCCTGAAAGTATAGTATAAAATCATCATTTATAGAAAATAGAATCTACGCAAGTTTCCATCTAGTAAGTAATTAAAATACAGGATATATCAGCCAATCAATAAGCAAGAACTCAACGCAAATACAATTACGAAATGACATAATCACAACTAATGACAATCCCCCCCCCAAAAAAAAAGCTCAAGAAAACCCCTATCATAATCAATCACGAATCAGAACCACCAACCAAATTCCATCCACGTTGTAATAATCACCATCACCCCCCCCCCCCCCGATATAAGAAACCACCCTGGCCCCCCCCCCATTGCCCTTATCTCCCCATCCCCTCACCCCCCCTCCTCCTCCTCTCTCCCCCCACCCCCCCTTCACACCCACCCATAATTCTCCCCCCCCCCCCAGATATAAGAAACCACCCTGGACCCTCCCCC